TCCCCCAACACTAAACCCACTGTCATTGTTTACCTTTTGCACATTTTTTTCAAACTGGGTTCCTACGTTACAAACACAATGAACAAGGTCGGGGAGTGAAAAAAACACAGCATTTTCCTTGGTCTTTCTCCCTTCACCAAGTAGGTGAATCTACCGGCTTTTGTTCTGAGATGGTGCTTTCTCACGTCTGGAGGGGAGTGTGAGGCGGGTGGAGAGGAGGGACGAGGAACACAGGTCACACGGAGATGCAGATGTGTGAGTTCCCTGCAGAATCTGGAAGACACCTCAGGGCTTGGACTGGTGCCTGGACGCCTCAGCTGGTCCAAGCAGCGCCCAGTCAAGGCTGCTGGTTGTGCCAACCCACCTACAGGGCCCCTCCCGCCCTGAGACCCAAGGGACCGAAGCCTCTCACACGGGGAGACTGGAACATTCTGGCTTTTTCTTCTCTACTCTCACTTGAAGGGAACATTCGCTCCCTGAGGCATGGAGTCATCCCAGCAGGTTTCATGTTAATGCTTCCGATGCTTCTAGGGAGCAGAGGGCTGGCCTCCTGGGGACACACTGCTCTCTGTGCCTCTTGGAAGTCGGGCCTGGACCCCCTGACTTATCTCGGGACTCACACTCCCACCAGAGCCGAGTTTGAAACTCTCCACCCTGGTTTTCAGCCCTCTTGTTCTCCCCCTACCCCACCCCCAGCCCATCCGCCACGCCACACGGTGCTCTTCCAGTTATCTTTCCAAAAACAACTGCAGCTCTCTGCCATTTCCTCGTTCCTCACACGATGGAGCTTTGGCAAGACTCTCCCTTCACAGCAGCCTACATTCTTGGTTCCACAAGCCGCTCACCTCGCTCCACGCACCCTAAGGACCAGCTCCATGGAAACCCCACACCTGAGGGCCCCATTCTCCTCTAACCATCACACCTGCTCCTTCCTGGAATAACAACCCCCACCACCCACCCCACCAGCCCATAAGCAACCTCCTCTTTCTGGTTTCAAATGAACCATTTCAAATGCCTCGTCCTCCGTGCAAAGCCGTCCGGAGCTACCAGGCAGAACTGACCATCCGTCCTGGCTCCTGTCTTGTCCACGCAGCACCGCCAGTGCCCCGGATGCTTTCAAGCCCATCGGCAGACATTCAACAAACTCTGATGAACTGTGTAACTAACGAGGCCACTTATGTGCCGTTATTTCTCCTCCAATCTCTCAAAAGGATCTTTCACTCACATCTTCAAGATAGTTGGAATTCAATGACTGTATTTTATTTTTTAAATTATTTATCTATTTATTAACTGTGCTGGGTCTCTGCTACTGCGTGAGGGCTTTCTCTAGTTGCAGCGACCAGGGGCGACTCTGTGTTACCGCGCCTGGGCTTCTCGTCGTGGTGGCTTCTCTTGTTGAGGAGCACAGGCTCTAGGCGCAGGCTCAGTAGTTAGTTGTGCATGGGTTAAGTTAACCTGAAGCATGTGGGATCTTCCCGGACCAAGGATGGAACTCTTGTCTCCTGCGTTGACAGGGGGATTCTTTACCACTGAGCCACCACGGAAGTCCTCAATGACTATCTTTTAATTCTTTCACTCAAGCCAGTGTTTTCCAGATTTGCCAGCCCATGAAAATGGCTGGCAAAACACAGATTCTTGGACCCTGCCCTAGGCAGACCCCTGAATTCAAATCCACATGAAGCAAGTGAGCATTCATAACAAACACAACAGGTGATTCTCCTGGTTTGACTTAGGGGACATTCTGTCCCCCACTGGAAGCGGAGCAACTTTGGAAATAGAGCAACAGTAATAAGCCTTATTGACTGTTCATATGGAATTTTTGGTAAAATTGTTTTACTAGAAGATTTAAGTAGAAGGGGTGGAGAAAAAGACAAAGTCATGGCATATGTCCAGTTTTCACTTTTGCAAAACATTCTCTGGAAGGGGCCATTTTACATCCAAACCCTCTGTAATCAAAATATTTATTTAATCAAGTGGCTTCACCCTACATAAGAATAAAGTCAAGGAGAATGAACTTTTTACAAGGACCACTTTAAAAGAAATCTTAATATCTGTAGTCCAATTAAAAAAAAGATGTATCTTTTTAATCAGGAAATGCAATACCACAACTGTGCTTGTATACACTTGTTTTTTCTTCATAAACATAGAAATGAGAAGGCTAAAATTCTTATTTAGGCTAAAATTTCAGAAAATACTTCAGTGTAGCATGCAGTTAGTTGTAATGTTTGTTTAGTTACCAAGTCGAGTCCGACTCTTTTGTGACCCCATGGACTGTAGCCCACCAGGCTCCACTGTCCCGGCAAGAATGCTGGAGTGGATTGACATTTCTTCCTCCAAGGGAGCCTCCCAACCCAGGAATCAAACCCACCTCTCCTGCATTGACAGGTGGATTCTTTGCCACTGAGCCACCTGTGAAGCCCAAGTGTAAAGTTAGATATTATAGTTGTAATGTTTGGTGTAATTGTAATGTTGGCTTTTATAAAAGCTGTGACTAAGACACTTCTGCACCCAATTTATTTTGCCTGTCCTTGGCTGTCCACACAGCCACTTCATTGCAAAAATTGTCCTGTTTGTCCTGTTTCATTATGCCTATGGATGGATCCTTAAAGACACATTGCAAAAGAGGCGCATAGAAATGTTACACAATGAACTATTAATAGAAATATTCCATAGCCCAGTTCCTAGGAAGCACATTTCTTTTTTCCCACCATTTCCCTTAGTAGCAGATTGAACGTGTGCAAGTGTTAGTCGCTCAGTCATGTCTGACTCTTTGTGACCCCAAGGACTATAGCCCGCCAGGCTCCTCCGTCCATGGGATTCTCCAGGCAAGACTACGGGAGTGGGTTACCATTCCCTTCTCTAGGGGATCTAAATGTTTATTTAGAAAATAGCTTGTCCCAGTCACCTATGTCCTGAACTGCTTTTCTCTATTCCTTTGGAGCAGAGAACACAAGATGGGGGGTGGGGGAGGAGGAAGGGGAGACAGTTGGAGGGGTGGGCCTGTATGGAGAAGCGAGGGACAATTCACGAAATGTCCATGTCTTCCTGTTTACACACCCTTAAACAAGGCTTTTCAGCATCACAACACACACTCCCTGCCCCATCTTCTCTAGCTCAGTAAAGGGCCTCCTAGGTGCTGAGGCTGGAGACCTGGAAGTCATCCTGTACTCCTCTGTCTTACTCCTCAGATCCAGCTCATCAGCAAGGCCTCCCCATGGACATCCACTGCCCGTCCTCAGTCTGACCTCCCGGCTCCAGCCCCACAGCCTCCCACTGCCAGAGAAAACGAAAGACACCCAGCAACACTGGCATTTCACAAAACAGCCAATCATTGTTTAGTATAAGGGCGTACCAAACATTGCATGAGATATACTAAAAATTCATTCACTGCATGCCTGAAATTCAATTGTAACCTGGGCATTATGTATTTGTATTTGTTAAATCTGGCAACCCTCTCTAGGATTTCCCAGAGGGTACTAATGGTAAAGAACTTGCCTGCCAATGCAAGAGACGAGATAATTTGGTTCCATCCCTGGGTTTGGAAGATCCCCTGCAGTAAGAAATGGTAACCCACTCCAGTATTCTTGCCTGGGAAATCCTATGGATAGAGGAGACTGGCGGGCTACAGTCCATGGGGTCACAAACAGTCAGACACAACTCAGCAACTAAACTAAACCACTAAGACATACTGCTGATGAATGAATGAATGAGTTTCCCGTCTGTAAAACGAGATTTCCTTACATTGTAAGCAGTCTTCACTGCAGCGTGTCCAACTTTCATAATATGTTGACATCCCCAAATAACCTTTTCTGCCCCAAAGTCAGACTTTTCCCTCTCAAACAGTGAAATCACATTCCTGCCTGTTGCACGGAGCTTCCGCCCACCCTCCAAGTTCAGAGTCACCAGGAGATCTATCTTAGTCCCACCAGGTGATAGATGGGACACTGTCTTATTCGAGCGTTTCATTGTATTTTAAAGTGGTAATTTAAAAAATGTAGTGGGAAGCTAAAAGTCCAAGGTGTTGATATGAATGCTAGGAAAAGACACGATGAAAATTACAAGGTAGGTTGAAAGCAGGAACTCTTCAGCCTTAAGCAAAACACTCTTTTCGGTGTAAGCTGGTTGCATTTTCTGGTGAAGAAAATGCATGCAATTGAGACCATGGATGGAAATGCTGAACACATATTAAAAACTGTGTCTGAACAGGATTATGCAGTTTTGAAATGGTACAAACTGTTCAGCTGTCCGGGAATGGAAGCCCTTATCACACACGACTCTATTTCTGGCTTTGGGGCTCCGGAGAGGAAGAAGGGCCTGCAGGGGACCATCTGTGACTCAGCTGAGAAGCAAGGCGGCCAGGTCTTCCACTGCAGCATGCAATGGTTATTTTATAATCCTTATTTTATAATCCTTCTGATTCCTGGCAATTGTTGGAGTTTCTCAAGAAGAAAAACATGAGGTCTTAGTTTGGACTTTTCTGAGCTGCTGGAGGAATGGCATATTTGCAGTGGTCCAGGCTCTTTGCGCTGGGTAGATAGGCAACCTGAAGGCAGGCCAGGAAACCGCAGGAGAAGGAGGAAGGGAAGTGCTGAAGGCCCCGTGTCGGGTGGGAGAGCCTGAGAGTTGACTCCAGCAAGAAGGAACAAGAGACATGAATGCATATGCTAACCAGAAGCAGTGGTTCCAGGAAATCGTGCAAAAGGTTCCCCAGTTCAAGACTAAATTTGCACATGGTTTCTTGAGCCATTTAACAGATGCAGCACTGTTTTCTTTGAGAAAGCCTTGGAAAGGTACCAGGCTGCTTGCTGACATGAGGACCACTAGGCGTTCAACACACAGTCATGGGAGCCTTCCTCATGCGGATGACGGGGGAGGGTGATGAGCAGGACCCTTGGGAGTTCTCGGTCAGTGGAGAAGCAGGCAAGTCCATGCTGACGTGGAGGGCACAGGTGTCCAGCAGAACAGTGTCCACTGCGCTTGGGAGCCGCAGCAGGAAGCAGATGGTCCTGTGTGTCCGGACGCATGTGGCCAACACCTCAGTTAGAGCTGAACTGACCTCACCACATGACACCGTTTTTAGTGTGCTGTTCTTACTGAGGCAAGATATAGAGAGTCTCTTGGAGACGGATGGTGATGAGGGTTGCAGGACAGTGAGAATGTTTTTAATGTCACAGGACACTTAACGGTGGTTAACCCTGGTGGTTCAGTGATTAGGACTCCCCGCTTTTACTGCTGAGAGAGCAGGTTCCATCCCTGGTCAGAGAACTAAGATCCTGCAAGCCAAGCCGTTGTGGCCAGAAACTTTTTAACTAAAAAAAATTAAAATGGTTAAAATAGTAAATGTTGTGTTAGGTATATCATAATAAAAAAAAAAGAAGAAGAAAAATAAATTTTAATTATCCACTCCCCACAAAATGTGTAGAGTAAAATGCACAGATCTTAAATGCTCTGTGAGATCAGTTTTTTGATAATGTCTCCACCCATAATCCCAGTTTCCAAAGTAAGATGGAGAATGGCCATGTTCTGTGTGGACACAACGTCAGCACCCTTCGGTCCACTTCTAAGTCACCTCCTCCCCTTGACCACTGTTCGTGACCTTCCGAGAAAGAAGATCAGACAGTATGTATTTCTTTCTGTTTGACTTATCAATCCTTCACTTAATATGATGTTTTGGAGATTCAACCAGTCGTTGTTGGAGCAGTGTCTTTTTTTTTTTTTGGTTTGAGTAGTCCTATTTTATGAATACATTCATCCAGCTCTATTGAATCACTCTTCTGATAATGAATATTTGTTTTATGCACAGGATTTTTGTTTTATGTACATATTATGAAAAGAGTTGCTATATACATCACCGTACACATCTTTTTGTGGATATGCATCTTCATCCTTCTTGCATAAATACCCAGAAGTAGAAAGGCTTGCCTGTGAGGCATTTGTATGTGGAATTTTATAGTAAACCACTAAATGGCTTCCTGCAGTGGCTGGACCATTTCCACTCCAGTCTCCCCGTACCCTCGCCTTCGCCAGCATGCTGTGATTGTCAACATTTTTTGGTTTTTTTTTAATGGACCCTAATGGCTCATGGAACCAAAGTGAATGATGCCAGAAAAGGGTAACAGCTTTCAGGCAGGGCTACTGGTTTCCCAGAAGTCTGCTCCTTCCCCCCAAGACGAGAGGGCCAGCACCCCAAGCTGGAGATTGAATGGGATTCCTTTCTTTTCCTTCCTTTTCTTAACAAACCGTTTTCACATGCTCTTTCACAACCAATCCAGATAAGAAATTCTAACAGATGGTGAAAGAGCAGCTCGGAGATGCGGTAATTTGCCCAGAGCTCACAGGATAAATCTCACCACCCTGGCCCTCTGCCTGAACAAGTGCCCCATCTCCGAGACTTAGGTCAATCTGGATGTTAAAAACAAAACAAAACCTCTGAACGAGCTACAACGGCACTATGCTACTTCCTGGCTCCTACACGGACTTCCTTTCTTTCTTATGGGTTGCTTTGACAGAGCCTTGCTCTGTAGAGGTCACGAGCGACCCTCAAACGTTGGAGTCCTGGGGAGAGGGGAGTGGTCCCCTAGTGCAAGGGAGATGGTCGGAAGAAGGAGGAGTTCTGTGTACCCACATGCTTCACAACACAACCAGGACTTGCCGTGTTGGAGGCTGAGGCTCTCCCAGCAGCTGGGGTGTCCCGCCCCACCCTCAAGCTTCTGGAGTGTGTGGGGGGAGACTGGGGGCGCAGGCCCTCTAAACCCAGAGACATCCCACCCTCCTAACTGGTGCCCAGTGTGGTAGCCCCTTCTCCAGGGACAGGGAGCTATTCCGCACATCTCAGCTCTCAAGACATTTGACACTCAGGTGGGAACTGACCAGATTAATACGACATCTGAATTCACTGATCTGAACTTCAATCCATACAGCCCTGACATCCTCAACGGCTGGATCTGGTGAAGTGGTTCAACCTTGGTACACAAGCAGGGTTTCGAGGAGAGTGCTAAAAAGCACCAATGGGGACTTCCCTGGTGGTCCAGTAGTTAAGACTTCACCTTCCAATGCAGTCTGCACGGGTTCAATCCCTGGTCAGAGAGCTAAGATCCCACAGCCAAAACACCGAAACATAAAATAGAAGCAATATTGTAACAAATTCAATGAACTATCTTAAAAATGGTCCACATCCAAAAAATCTTTAAAAAAGAATAGAAAGCACCCATGCCTCCACTATCCCCCTTTTATTAGTTGGGGTGCAGCTTGGGCCCAGGGAGAATTAAATGCTCCCCCATTGACTCCAGTGAGCAGCCAGGGCTGAGAAGCACTAGAAAAACCCTATACTTTGACTTCACTTACTCTGAAAAAGACTTCACAGTCCAATGGTGTTGGGATCCTTTTATCAGATACTGAACTCCACTTGAGAATAGAAATCATAGTAATAGACATGCCATGTGTGTTGTTGTGTTGTATTCAGTTGCTCAGTCAAGTCTGACTCTTTGCAACCCTAGCAACAACAGGCTTCTCTGTCCATAGGATTCTCCATGCAAGTATACAGGAGTGGGTTGCATGCCCTCCTCCAGGGATCTTCTCAACCCAGGGATCGAGCCCACATCTCCTGCATTACAGGCGGATTCTTTATTGCTGAGCCACTGGGGAAACCCAGATGGGCCATGTGAAAGTGAAAGTTGCTCAGTTGTGTCCGACTCTTTGCGACCCCATGGACTATACAGTCCATGGAATTCTCCAGGCCAGAATACTGGAGTAGGTAGCCGTTCCCTTCTCCAGGGGATCTTCCCAACCCAGGGATGGAACCCAGGTCTCCTGCATTGCAGGGGGATTCTTTACCAGTTGAGCCACAAGGGAAGCCCAAGAATACTGAAGTGAGTAGCCTATCCCTTCTTCAGCAGATCTTCCTGACCCAGGAATCGAATCGGGGTCTCCTGCATTGCAGGCAGATTCTTTACCAACTGAGCTATCAGGAAAGGCCAAAGTGAAATTCGTTCAGTTGTGTCCAACTCTTTGCGACCCCTTGGACTATACAGTCCATGGAATTCTCCAGGCTAGAATACTGGAATGGGTAGCCTTTCCCTTCTCCAGCGAATCTTCCTGACCCAGGAATAGAACCCAGGTCTCCTGCACTGCAGGTGGATTCTTTACCAACTGAGCTATCAGGAAAGCCAAGGCAGGCCATAGATGATTTAATTTCAGATGTCCTGCTGGCTAGCTGCTACAAAAACCATCTCATATTGCATTACAATTTCATGCTCTTACGCAAGAGTGGACATTGGAATTTATCCACCACCAACTTAACCCCATACCTGAACTCAAATCAGAAAAAAACAGCATGGGGGAAAAAAAACACTGATTAAATAAATGGACCCCACTATTAAAAATTTGCTGGTGCAGCAAAATTGACTTTCCTATCACAATTTGTCTTCTGCAAACTTTATTTTTTATTCTAGAAGCTGTGAACTCTTATTCTATGAACTTTATTTTGTTCCACTTGGCCCCAAATGAAAAGTTATTTAGTCCTGGATTTGGCTATATTCTAACCATAAGAAAATGGCAGTATTTGCAAAGTATTATCTTTTGGGCATATTTTATGAAAAATATTAATTCACTTATACTTATCTCAGGTTTATCTACTATAAAACTATCACTATCATTTTCCTTTAGTTCAAGAGTCCTTCTACCTTATAGTTTATAATCAATGCTCAGAGAATGAACGTTTATGAAAAGCAGAGCTACTTCAAATTTTAAACCTCAAGATCTACATAAACAACAAAAGAGCTTAAGTTCTATATAAACAAACAATAAACTAATCATCACTTATAAATGATAAAGTCTCAATAAACCCAGTGAATTCAGATTATACTATCAACACAGAAATAGAAAGAACTTACAGTGAAGAGCAGCTTCCTAGGAAATAACTTTTCTCCTCACCTTAAAGGTAAAACTCAGAACAGCAGAAAATTACCAACCAGTTCATTTCACAAAACCTTGGCAGTCAAAAATATCAGAAGCATAGCTGACCCTTGAACAGGGTGGGGCTAAGGGTGTTGTCCCCTTGGAGAGGAAACTCCACGGACACCTCTAGAGTCAGCCCTGGTTTACCACATCTGCAGATTCAAGCAAGGCAGATCGTAGTACTGTCATATTTACTAAGGAAAGAAATCCAGGTATAAGTGGACACATGCAATTCAAACCCATGTTGTTCAAGGGTCAACTGTAATTCGATTCATTATTCTTCTCTTACTGGGGTTTAGTTCATGTTTTTATTTTACCCCACAGGTCTGGCATACAGGGGCACCCGATAGTGCAGGGGACAAGAGTTCGGTCCCTGGGCCAGGAGGGTCCCTCATGCTGCAGTGCAGCTAGCCTCGTGCACTGCAGCTGAGCCTGTGCTCTAGGGCCTGGGAGCCGCAGCAAGAGGAACCAGCAAATGCGAAGCTCACGCACGGCAACCAGAGAGGAGTTGAAACTAGACAGAAAAGCCCGTGCAGCAAGTAAAACCCAGCAGAGCCAAAAACAGGTAATTTTCACTGTTCCCCATAAGCTCACATTGTTCTCTTGAAAACTTGAAAGAAACAAAGAGGGGCTCCATCTAACATCTGGTCTACCGACTGCATAAACACAGTGAGACATTTTTAAAATGACGACATATCATCACTCATTCATTCAGCTTTTCTCACCCTAGACTCAATCCCATGTCTATCCAGGAATGAGTCCATTATGACCCTGGGGTAGTTTATTACCCAAGTCACAGTCCTAATGCCCTTTCTGGCTTAGGTTCTTCTCATCTGTTTACATTTGGTTGAACCAGGGAGTGCAATTAGACAAAGAACCAGCACAACTACTCAGCAAGGAGTTCTCTCCTCTGCACGCAGCCCAGCCTCCAAAAGATCTCAAGCAGGTGGCTGGTCCTGGACAAAGCAGCCGTTCTACAGCCCAGAGGTTCTTACACGACCAGCAGAGGGTCGAAACTGTCAGTCAATTGGGTTTATTTCAGTGTATGAGTCATGTTGCTTGTGGATCAGCATCAAAAATATGGACACAAGACTCCTCCAGCTCTACCCTCCTGCCCACAGGAAGC